TGATCTATGGAGGCTGTTCCCATGGCTGGGTACGCATTCCTAAAAACACAGAGACTGTATGGGAAATGCACTATTCCTTCAAACTTATCTCTCCAGCCTCATTTAATAAATGATGTGTTCATGATCTTTTAACATCAGTAACAATTTGTTCATCATATTACTCTGTGCAAGAGAGAGACTGCGAAGCTATCTGAACCATTTTAAAACTTAAATTAGCCACCATAAAGTGCAGAATAAAATTATAAAGACTTTCTTGTAATACAAAATTCATAGAGACAAAACTCTAATTTCCTGATGGATATATGATATTAATGTAACGGATACCTCAGTGTAGTTAAATTGCATTAAATGGTTATTAATGCTTGAATAAACTTCAAGGAAGTGGGTACTGGTTGAAATGGGATAATATTTTGTTCTGCTAAATTATACGTTAATTGGTATTTCCTCTCTTGTAAAAGGACCTAAAGGGCTTAATAAAATGTGTGGTAGAAACATTATTTTTTTCTTCTTGAGATGGTAAGTCTAGAGTTCAATGGGAAACATTTCAAATTATTCCCAGAAAATTCATCAGCATTCAATACAATGACATGGCTTACAGGACACCCCAGAGTAAATAACGGTGGCTCTCAGTTATTTGGTAGTGCACAAGTCAATATGCAAGGGATAGAAGGAAACACTACAAGTGAATTGCTTGCTGTTTTATTTTCATGTTTGAAATTGTACTTTGCTCAGATGTAGGTAGCTACTTCCAGTGTACTATAGTGGTAATTGAGCCTATTGGCACTGCATGGGGTGATGCGTATCGGTGGTCTAAGAGAGGAGGGAAAGTGGTAAAAGACCTCAGTTCTCATCTCCTGAAAATTCAAGTGTCAGCAGATCAGGAGGAGGCAGCACAAAAACCGCTCGTGAAATAGCAGTGATTCAGTAGTCTAAGCTTCCTTGATCTTCTTTATTCCCTCTTTGTAGATCTGCTTCTTTGAATTATGCAAAGCAAAGTTGTGGGTATTTTGTTTTCATTTGGAAATATCAAATATGGATTCTGTGTACTGTGCCTCAGTTTCTTCATTTGGAGAAAACAAATATGAAAATGTTCTCTCTCTCTCTCTCTCTCGCCCCCCGATATCCTTCTGTCTGTGGATTTATTGGCAGTATGAAGTAATTTCCCTTCATTCCAACATTCAGTAATGCTGTCCTTAACAATAAGTGAAAATGAGATGTTGAGATGCTTCTGTCTTTTCTTCTAAAGGAACTTTAGTTGATTGAGTGAATTCCTATAGATAATTAAGTATATAACGAAAAGGAAATAAAATTATTTCATTCAGAATGCAGGTGTTGGTGAAGAAGCTTCAGGCTGTCAATGTGCAAAATCATTAATGTGTTTTGATTATAGTGTTGTTAGGTTTTCCAACCTGGATATGGTTTCCTCTGCTTACATCCAAATGAGACCACATCTTACATCTTAGGTTTACCACACAATTCATATTTTTTCAGATGATACTGCTTGGGAAACACAAAGTCACAGGTCCCCAGATATCATCAATAACTGAGATTTCTTCCTTCTGCAACTTATAGCAAATTGCAGAGGGAGAATGAGGTTAGCCAAAGTTTTGAGCGCTGCAATTTGTCTTAGAAGAAAAATGTGATAGAGGAATCAGATAATTTTGATGCTATATAAATATTTTCATATTTACAAAGAGCGGATAAGTTCCCATTTCCTGATTACTGAAGAAACCATATGGGAGACCAGCATCTTTGTTCCAGCCCAGTGCTTCCAGCCAGCCAAGTGGTCTCCCATAGATTTAATTTGGGGCCAGGCTGTAGAAGCATTGCTCGTTGTGCATGGTCTTTTCTTGCTTTCCTACATTTTTCATTTATTTGTCTCTAAAACCAGTATTTGAAAAAGATACTTCAAAGGAATCTTATCTGTTTTGAAAAGGAATGCATGTAACAGTGCTAAAGCAGAACTGATTGTAAACAAAACTTATAAAAGCCAGATTCTGTGGAGCACTTGGCATACTGGCTTGTCAGAGAGAACTTGAATGTGTTCTGGCTTAATATATCTTCTCAGTAGAGTAGGATGTGCTTTATCATGGAAGAATAAAGCCATTGGCTGAAGAAACTTCGCTGAGGAAGCTTAAGTTGTTGTGGTTTTAAATCCTACTGGTCGCAGTTGAAGGAAATCCCTGTTAGGATTTCTCCCAGTTTATTTCTCCTATCTATTTCTTCCAATAGGTACATGGCAGAACCCACGGGGTTGGCTTTAATCATCCCAAAGCTCCAAAAGGGTATTGAAATCTGGGAATTGTTACTATAAAATCATTGTGCGATGTATTTCAAGGTCATGCAAGGTTATACCCACACTTAAGTTGAGTATTGCTGAGGTGTCACTGCCACTTGCTGAAGAGTAGAGGGAGCTGGGAACTGTGGATCCCTCCACCAGCGATGAGTGATTTATGGGATGATCTCAAGCTCACAGCCTTTCTCTTCATGGTTCCAATACCCTGCATGATGATGGAAGTGCTTTGTGGGCTTCATCTTAATAAAGGCTCCCCCACCCCAAAACAAGATCTTTATCCAAAGATTTTAATTAATTGCAAAAGTTAAAAATAAATTGTGCTGGAGCACCATTGATAATCCTCCTAGACCAGCTTTCATTCATGTTAATGTGTAATACAGCCACAGTAAGATTTAATTTTAACCATAATTATAAAAGTTTGAAATTAAATCTTACTAGGGATGTGTTCTCCATTAATATGGACAAAAACTGATCTGGTAGGATTATTATGGGGGACATAAGAAAGATTTAATTTTTAACTTTTATAATTAATTCAAAAACGTGATAAAGGATTTTGTTTCAGGGGAGGGGGGGAGTGCTCTCCAGACCACTAAGACATCCCAGCAGTCTTTCAGAACTGTCTTAATTACAGCCAAAAAAGAATTATTTGTTAGAGAATAGTGGTCAGGAGCTCAAACTGATTCTTTTATCCAGAAATAAATGTGCTGGCACTTGGAAACTTTCACTGGTAGAAGCACTGCAGTTCTTGGTAAGGCAATGAGCAAAGAGAAATGGCTGTGTGTGTGTGTAGGTATGTATGTGCAGAGACATGAAAGACATGAGCACACAGTGGTAGAAACACCTTTTGCTTATGTATATATATAATAAACAAATTTACATGGATATATGAACATGTAAATATACAAACATATATGCCTATGTGTGTATACACATATATAAAACATAACAAATATGCTTTTTGTTCATTTCTTTATTTCTAATGTTATATGTCCATGCCGATAGATCTTATTCCCATTAAAAAGATATGACAAAAGGAAAATCAATAAAAACCATTCATTTTAATGTTTGGAATTGTTTGGTTGCACTGAATTCCATTGCATTTGTCATGCTACACAACAGGCAGAGAGCAAATATCAAGCAAAATAACTGAAACATTTCTATTGAGGGTCAGGTTATGTCACGAAATGAGATAAAAGATGATTATTAGGAAGGAAGCATTCATTTCAAAAGTCAGATTCAGCTTTAAATTGTGATCCTAATCTTAAATACTATGCATTAATGATTTAGTGTTCATTGTATGTAAGTACTTTCCACATCAGATGTACGTGGTTTTTTGTTTATTTTGCAGGTTTTTTATTATTATTATTATTTGGGACTGGCTTGATTGCTTCCTTTTCCTTCTACTACTTTGATTTTTTTTTTTATTGTGTCCAGTCTTGATATTTTTAGCATTCAGTCTGCAAAACCAAGACTCATTCCTCCTCATAAATTTTACTGAGTCTTAGTGAGGACGGATGGAGTTCAGACCCAAGATTCACTTCTTACCCTGACATTCCCTCATTGGGTTTGGTGCAGTTGAAATGTTTTTAGAAAGGTGGTAGCTCTTTGCTCCTTGTTTAAAATATGTGTAACTATAAGTGTCTGAATGACACTTTTTGTTCCTAGTATGGTTTTAGCTTTCAGAGGGATTTTTTAATCTTGTAAGTTTAACCTGGTTTATTTTGCTGTAAGATAGAAGAACAACTGCAGTTCTTCAACTTTTCTTTTAAATAATTACTTCAGAAATGTTTGAAATAGTGCAAAACAATATTCCTGAAGTATAGAGTGTATAGACAATGAACATTTTTGTGAGAGGCTGAATTTGCAAAAATCTATGAAGTAAAACACAGGTTATTTCCCTATCCATGTTTTCACAAAATATATCGGCATTGATAATGCCTCCATGACTTCTGTATTTATAGAATCTGAAGAATTCCATCTTTTGTTCTTTAATTCAGTGCAATGTTTAATGTGGTTTGTACTTCTTTCTTTATGTTACAGTTTCTATGAACATCTAGTATTTCTTTTTTTTTCCCTTTTTTCCTACTATTTACATGTAATTATGTTTGAATCGCATGACAAAACACATCGTTATCAAATTCAGTAGGTATTAATGGCAGGTTCTTCCTGAATTAGCACCCATCAACTCCATCTCCAGCTGTAGTGTAATGTTAGTAAGGCTGCTCATTGACCCAGGTAGCTAAACAGTGATGAATGGAAGAGCATTTTGATGGAAATCATCTTCCAGCCATCTTCATAGTTCTCTGATCGTTGATTCCGTGGAATGTGCTGGGTTCACCAGAACAGATTTCCTTGAAATTTTACCTAGCTGTCTATGAGACCTGTAATGTCTATTTCCAAGGAAAATCGAGTGTTTTTGAACAGTGCATTTTCTTGGTGCATGTCTATTGAAAACACATAGATAGCTAAGACATCTTAAAAAAAAAAAAAAAAAAAAAAAAAAGACTAAATTAGGCACTTAGAAATTATGTCATAAAATTATAGAATGGCTTGAGTTGGAGGGAACCCCCAGGATCATCAAGTTTCAACCCCCTTGCCACAGGCAGAGCCACCAACCTCCAGATCTAGAGGTTGCTGAGGGCCTCATCTCATCTGGTCCTGAACACTCCATTAAGTAAATACTTTCCACCTTTTTGTGTTGCAGATGCTTTTCATCTTATTTGTGACAAAAGAGCTGCTGTACTTCAGGCCATCTTTGACATGATATCAAACTATCATGAGCAATGCCTTTTCCTTTTTTCCCTCCCTTCAAAGAAAGCTCTTGGGATTGAGTCACCAACAGGTAATAACCTTCAACATTTTGTTTTCTGCTGTTGGTAATGTTGTACCAGGCACTTCTTAACGTTCTGCTATAGGCTGTTTAATTGTTCAAATAAAGCTTGGCATAGATAGAGAAAGCTGTAGATATTGGGCACTGACTTCAGTGACCTTTGAAGCTGGCACACGGAAGCAGTTATGTGAGGAATAGCTTTAATGCTGGAAAATACAGTAAAGTAAAGGTGAATTCTTAGGGTGAGTCTTTTTTCTTGTATTCAAATTGGTAGAAATGTTGATGTTTTGTCAGAGATTAGTTGCTTACTGGTTAGTGGCCTGAGAAGCAGATCAGAGACCTGCATTGGTCAAGCAATGGCAATATTGGAAAATAATGCCAATGCTTTCAGCATGGGTAGTCTCATACTCAAAAAGAAGTTTTTGTACATCCACAGTTAGTGCTATTCATGGGCTCAGTAGCTGAATTTATTGAGGCATGAATAAAGGAATCTTAAGCTTTACATGCAGTTTCTTGGCAGAGATATACTGTGTGTATTGATTTTTTTTGAAACCTTCTTTTGCTAAGTATGTAGCTGAAATTTCCTAATGATTCCTTTTTATTTGGGAGAAAGTTAACCCACCTGACTGAGTCTTGTGAGACACAGCAATTATAGCCCAGTTGCACGTACCTTATGTGTTGTCTGTGCCATTATTGTGGGCAGGTGCTTCTGACTGAAAATTTGCTTGTTGTGGTAAGTTCACCTTACTAAGTTTAAGGTATTTATTTACTCACAGCATGCATCCAATTAGCTCCAATTTAAAGTGAATAGAAGAAAATTATAAAAGACATTTTCCCCCGAAACAAAAACCAACAAGTTAATATTATTCTCTTCCCTCTGGCTAAAAAAAAATTCAATACACTTCTGGTACCTTAGATTTGTCATTACTGTAGAAAACTTGTTACAAAATAATAATACTTTGCTCTGCTGTAATGCTTTCCATCTGAGTACATCAAATTGTCTTATGAACGGTAATGAATGAAGGCAGGTATCAACTGTGAACTTGGGAATGCATCTATTTTATGGACAGGCAAAGTGAGAGAGCATACCATAATTAAGTGAGTTAGCTAAACCTGCAGAGTGTGGTATTAACTAATTCAGGAACAGGTCTCAGAAATCCAGATTCGATCACTTACATGTTTTCAGTGTCACTGCAGTAGAAAAAATCTAATAGTGCACGACCTTCCAATTAAGAACAGAAATATCACATTTCGTAAAAACATGCTGAACAATGAATTTGGAATCTATCTGTGCTGTTGGAGATGTGTTAGAAAAATGATTGGATATTTCACTTAAAATCCACTGCACTGTGGTGTATACATTTGGCTGCCTAGCAAAAGAAAAACAGTGGTAGTTTCAGGAAGCCCCCCAACCTCGTCAGAATGTGCCAAAGTGTTTCTAAATCTTCAGCCCGACTATTAAAAAAAAAAATAAATTAATAATTTAGTAAAAGATATTTTATTACAGGGTCTCCCCTTCTGTCTCCCTGGCTTCGAGCCAAAGTACACTATGAAGTAAGAGTTGGAAATGACCTCCACTCCTTCAAATGTGTTGTTTCTTTGGTTTGGCTTAAAATTAATCATTTGTTTAAAAAAAAAAAAAAAAAAAAAAAAAAGAAAGAAGTAGACATTTCTTGGTAAGCCCCAATTTTAACTCATAAGTGGCTCTTTGCCAGTGTCTAATATGACATCAGAGTGATGTTACTATGATTATGCACTACAGATTGGAACTGTAATACATTGCTGATATATTAAACATTGACATGAAACCTGGATATATAATTGGCAATGACAAAAGAAAGCATGATTTAATATCTTCCATGCCACCCTCCCCACTTGAGTTGCTCAGGGTCGTGCCTTCTCAGTGCTTTCTCATTACTTCCAATAGAATATCCTGATGTTCAGCAAGTATTTATAGGAACGTACTAGAATCTCTCTGTTGGATATATTTTGCACATAACACAGCAGTCCAAGGATTTCTAATATGACATCTTTCTTACAAAGGCAAAGCTTTAAAATACATTTTTCCTCTTGTATCTGGAAGATAGGACAATGCTTAAGCAAACATTAGGTCATTTTAATGATAATATTAGGCGCTAGATAAGTCTAAAATATATCGTACTCCTCAAAAGCCCTTAGCTAATGAGTTCATGAGCTCAGTTTGTTTTTGACTTATTTGTGTTTGATTTGCTCTAAAAATTACATATTGTATTTATAAAGTCACAGAGGACCCTTTGGGTATAAATTGTCCTTCACATTTTTACATATGCGGCTGAAAATTCCTTTTCCCATAGTGTCTTCCTGGCTTTTAGCTCATATAGTATTCATCAGAAACGTGCTGGCTCAAACAAAGCCAGAGGATATCATCCCCTTGAGGAAAGTTGAGTATTCTTGTTCCCACGAAATTCTTCCCCTCTCCCCAGTTATGCTGTAGTGAAGATATCTTCCCAGCTGTCGCTCCCTCTTTCCATTTTCCTCAGCACCAAGTTCAGGATGCATTTCTTTTGGGATGCCTTTTAAACAGATTGCTTTGTAGCCATCTTCTTTCCTTTCCAGCAAGAACAAAGTAGGGCATTTCCAACTACTCTGCAGTATTTCTTGCATACTTGAGTTCACCATCCATCTTGCGCTGTTTTGTCAAAGAGACTGAATGAGGTATAATGGCCTCCTTAACCATTTAAAAACAGAACAGTGATTCCCAACACCATTGTAATTTACTTTATTTTCTGTCTAAGAAATCAGCCCTGATGGTTTACTGTGTAAGCTCATGGCTAGCATGCAAGCAGTTTGTTATGGCCCACCTTTGAAAGCCTTTTTCTTTCTTTCTTCCCTTCCAGCACTGCTAGGGAGTTTTATTAAAACACCCTGTAAAATCTGGTGATGTATCTGGTGGCAATCTAAATTGTGATTAGCCAATGGAATTCTGCATTTCCATTAACGCTGAAGCCCAGTGTCCCTGAGATTTATATCCCTGAATCTTTCAATTGATTTATAACCTGGTAATCCTTTTATCCCCATTTATATGCAGCATAACTTGACGTAAGTGCTAGAAATGTCTCCATTAATTGAATCCAAGAGTGTTGGGTTGAGAAACTGGACTAAAAACTTTCAGGCTCTACTGTAAATATGCTTTGTGTCAAAGGAAGTCAAGAGGTAATGCGTCGTTGAGTTGCTCCATCTTTATCTTCACCCTCAAGTAAAATGGGGAGAAAAAGATTTGGAGTATCTCTTACAATGAATGCATGTTAGATATCTGATTTTGCATACTGAGATACAGCCTCCTGTCTCAGTCTGTAGCGTGGCTGCTGGCAAGCTGTGCAAGGGCTTCCCGATTCCTAAGTACCTTGTCCAGAGAAGGGCAACAAAACTGATGAGGGGTCTGGAGCACAAGTGTTATGAGGAGCAGCTGAGAGAGCTGGGATTGTTCAGTCTGGACAAGAGGAGGCTCAGGGGAGACCTCATTATACTCTACAACTTCCTGAAGGGAGGTTGTGGTGAAGAGGGATTTGGCCTCTTCTCCCAGGCAACGAGCAGGACACGGGGCAATGGCCGCAAGTTGCATCAGAGGAGGTTTAGGTTGGACATGAGGAAGAACTTTTTCTCTCAGAGAGTGGTCAGGCACTGGAATGGCTGCACAGGATGGTGGTGGAGTTGCCGTCCCTGGCAGTGTTCAAGAGGCATCTGGATGGCGTGCTGCGTGATATGGTTTAGTACTAGTGGTGGCAATGGTGATGATGGTTGGACTGGATGATCTTATAGGTCGTTTCCAACCTTGTGATTCTATGATACCTTGATGCAGAAATCTTATCTCAAGCTCTGTAGTGATTCTGTACTTCTCTTCAAATCTTCTTGAGGCCAATAGAAACTAAGTTTCTAGTTTCTATCTGGGTTTCCAGAACTGTTTGGGAAACAATTCCGGCTCTACACGCTTGGGAAACTTCTGCTTCTAATAACTACAAGGTGAAGAGGTGTTTTTCTTTCCCTGCGTGAAAATTGTACAGTATTAATCTTTCCTGAGTTGTATGGTACATAAGTGTTGAATCCCAGCACTGCTACTTGTAGTTATGCAATGGGAAATGTATTAGTTACTGCAGCTTTGCATTATTGCTTCTCTTTGTGCAAGGACTTAAAAATTAGATGAAAACATTGATTATAAGGAAATCTGTGTAGCTTCTCTGAAACAATGGCTCACGAGAGGCAGCCCCTTTGATAACCTTTTCTGTCCACATCTTCAGAGGATGGGGGAGTCCCATGTTACAATTAAATCAAATATGTGGAACAGCAAACATAGGAGCTATTAAAATGTATTTATTATTCATTATTAGTAAATTGCTTGCATGGGGAGTACTCTGGTGTAGCAAACTTACAATTTTGTTGACTCATTAAAAGTCTACAGTGTGATGTCCTGCAAAACCCAAATTTGTATTTATAGCATTAATTTTAAAGCTTCGTTTAAGCAATTACTTCTGTGTATTACATGAAAAAGAGGCAGAATAAAGGTAAATCTTACAGTATGTTGAAAATTTTCTGCTCGAATAAACTGCCATCTATCTTGAGACTTAATGTGCTATTGGGACAGAACCTGATTTAACCCAGAAATTTACAGGTGAGACTGTGGAAGATAACGTGTGCCACTACTGAAGATGTGTTAATAAATTATAATTCTGTATGCTCTATGCATTCCAATTGCCTCTTTAGTAAATACTTAACACATTAAAGTCTGCCAGGAAATCAGATGAAACGAAACCAATTTAATTCCTTAATTTGTATTATATTATGCAATACTACATCATGTTGCACCCGTAGAAACAAGAAATTGATATTTTCTGAATCAGATCTCCTGTTTCTCAGCAATTTCTTAATATGATGATATCTTTGGGGAGAGGATGCTAAGACAGCTTTCCATGTCTTGGTTATAATGTCATCTTGTGCTTAGGAAGGAGAAAGGGAACAAATAA